GATAAAATGAGAAGCAAGACTTTGTATTTTACCAATATTAAAGCAGTTTAAAATTTTCTAAACAAAAATTAAAAATTAAAATTGTCATTCACAGTTGAAGCAACCCTTAATCAGGTCCCAGTTTGCTTGTACCTACAAAGATGACATGATGACTGAGAAGAAGGCTCAGCACTTCTTCAGTAGGAGCCAAATCCCGACTTGCATACATCCTGCACCAAAACAAATGCTTGCTCTCTGTTCTGAACCTAAAACTTTTGCAGGTAAACTGAATTGTGTCTGAATGAATAACAAAATTTTATTCTTGATGTTTTTAAAGTGTTACACCTATTGATTTTTATCAGAAAAACTACTTATTAAAAGTCAAATGTAAAGAATTTTTTTCAAGGAAAAACAAAACTGAGTGTTTAAATAGCCTTGCACAAGTTATAACCAGTAAAAACTGATTTAAAATATGTTTAGTCTATACTATGTGAAATAAGTGCTTTGAAATTAGCAGTATAAATTGTTAAATAATAATGAACTCTAAATAAATTTTAACCAACATTATGTAAGTTTTTTTTTTTTTTTTTTGCTATTTTATGGAGATGACCAAGCCTTGAATAAATTTTATATTTTGAATGGGAAAATTATGGCTAGTTAATTTTTTTAAGCAATAGCACATTATGAGATGTGTATTATATAAATCACTGTTAGGGCATAAGTTATCCTTCCTTTGCAACATTTTGACCTTTGTTTATAATTCATTTCCTGAAGTTGTTGATGGCTTTTATTTGTGCATATCTGGGTCGTCATTTACAAATTTAATGGTGAGGTTTCTGCCTAGGTTTGTTCATAGTTGTTTGCTAGTGATTGACTAAGTTGTTGTTATCCGTTTTATTTTAGAAAGCACTCTTTTGTTAAAAAGACATAACCCTTATGTCATTTAAATCACAGGAATATCCTGGCTAACTACTGTACTTTACAAGTAATATCTCTCTTTTCCTTCCCAAAATATTTTACTCTCTTACCCAATAGATGGGGTAAATTCACCTCTTAAAAGACCAGCAGTTGGATCCAGTTTTGGAAATGTTCATCAGAATAGAAGTAAAAATGAAAAAGTGAAAAGATGCCAGCCAAGAAACAAGAGCTCAAGGAGGAAATATATGGATTTGAATAGTGAGAATGTCATCAGCAATAATGACAGTGAACCTCCTCAGTATACAAATATTAAGAGACCCAAGATATCAAACATACAACAGGAGAAATTGGACATCAAACTACATGGAGCAGGAAAAAGCAACAAGGCTACAGCCAAGAATAAATTGATTGCTGGTCAGACGAAGTTAACTGACTTTTTTAGACTATGAATCTTATTTTTATTGTGATGTTTATAGTAAATGTACTATTCCATAATAAACATTACACATTTTGAAAGAACAAAATAACAGGTGCATTAACACTTCATCATGTCCAAATATATTATGTGAAAGTAGGTTATGTATACTATTCCTTAGCCAACTAGTGATAAGTCCTGATTGTGCAGAATTCTCAATTTCATTATCTATACACCATAACTATTACAACTAGGTTATCTAGTGAAAAGGTCAGTCATGTTTCCCTCAACTTGAAAATACAGATAGAAGAATTTAGATGTACATATACAGCAATACCAAAAGCACAGTAACTTCAAGTTTAATTAAACTGACAACCAATGCTTCTTCAGAGAAGAGACCAGAAGTTTTCAAACTTGCCAACAAGGTCGATAGACTCTTCCCAACATACACCTGAGCACTGAAGAAAAAAATCATTTTACTGATTTTATATTCAAAATCGAAATAATTTTTCAGTGGAAGAAATACACATATACTTACTATCAAAATCTCTCCTTCCTATTGGAAAGTTAGATGAGTTTTCTTCATCCCCCGTCTCTCTCCTTTCCTGTATTGACTCAATATTCTGAATATCAGTGTCAAGTGGAAAAGCCATTGAGCCTTTCATTGCAAGGTAAGGTTGCTGTTTTATAGCTAGTTTCAGTGGTGGACCATGGCTTCTGAAATTGTGTTTGGAACCTATATTCTGAAATAAGAAAAAAAATAAATTTTAAAGACAAAATATTAACAGTGTGTTTAGTTCTCTTTTTTGTTTTTATTTGTGCTATTCAGAACAAAAGCATTATAACAATCATTTCAAAGCATACAATCCTACACATTGGACTTTGGCCTAGACACCTTGAAATCAAAGAGCTTAATTTTAGTTTAATTATTCTGTGGGGTTGAAACCCTCTTGGTATGTATGGTGAATTCTATTAAGGTTCTAAAATATATATTTTATTACAGAATGGGCAAAATGATTTTGATCACTGAAATTCTGGTGAAAATCAGGCCAGTGGTTTAGGTTCCCAAACTCAGATTTAAATTAACATTGAAAACTTAGCATACAGTAATACCATGATTTGTAACTGAAATTATCCACCAAAACATTCTTTTAAATTGTAAGTTCTTAACTCTTTAAAAAGGACTGTGAAATGGGCTTTTATTCATGTGTTAGTTAAATAAAATGGAAACTCACTAAGAATTTTGGGTTTCTGTCTTCCTCTTCATCCAAAAAGCTGCTGTCCTCCATCTTGTAGTGCTCAAGAGAAGGTATAGCCTCTGTCTTCTCTGTTTTACCTCCATTCCAAAGAGCTTTTCCTATGTTGAGTGTATTTAGTATCATATCATCATCTTCTACCTTTCTCGTAGACTTTGAAACTGAAAATAAAAAGCCTTGAGAAAACAGAGAGAAAATTAGGAATAACATGTAGGATGAAATATGCATTCTTAGTTGTATTATGTTTGCATAGAAGTTGAGCAGGTTTCAGATATTATTTAAGAAAGGTGTCCTGTGTAAATTAAAGTGTCCTCCAATCTGGTCTACCTTTTATATATTTTACAGATTGAATAGAAACCACTTCAGTGGTTTATGAGTTCACCCTTTGTAAATGACTCATAATAAAGATGCTAACCTTTATGAATAGTACTTGTAATTCCATATATTGGCTAGAACTACTTAAGTATGAGTATTTTTTTTACCATGGATTATTAGGGCTTTTGTAAACTTTTAGAACAGTACAGATTAGTAGTTCCTTTTAATGGATCAAGTTTAGCAAAATTCACAGGATACCATAATCTCATAATCACATGCTTTTTAAAATTAGGTCTTAATTTTCACTTAGGGCAGTTTTAGAAAAGAACTAATTTACACATGTAAGAAAGGGTCAGCAAAGTAACTTATTTTGTTTTAAACCCTGGTCTACTTTATTTTCAAATCTTAAAAAACTAACTGGAAAAAAACCTTTGACGCTAGCAATGGTTCAAATACTACCATTGGCTTAATACAAGCAAAACTGAAACCTTTAACTTGTGTCCAGTAAAGTGTGCACCTGTTTATCTGAAGATAAAGCTGGCAATCCTCACTCATTGTGGATTCATCTACTTGCCAGAGTTTCGAGGCAATCTGAAAGGATCAGTGTTGCGTACACCAATAGGTCAGTACCCCGATAATAATTTCAGATGTTCTACCACGGAGATTGCAGGCAGTTTCTCTTATCCACTCTGAACAGAAACCTTACTACTTCTTCAAGAGGTCCCCATGGATACTCCACACTTGGTGCCATCCCAGCGCCTGAATTGGAGATTTTGAAGCAGTCCCTGCATGGACTGCACATGTGCAGTGCTGACTGGCATGCAACGCGCCAGTAGGCACCACGCACCTGTGCCCTGAGCCCTCCAGTTCCTTCTCAGCCTAATATGAAGGTCCTCAGTTCTCTGCTTCAACATTTCTGAGAGAGTTTTCCTAGTTAGTTCTGGTTATTTGTTAGTTGTTACTAAGTCTTTTTCTTCTTTTTTTAACCAAAAAAGCCCCTTTTTCACCATGCCTGGTTTCTCTGGGCTTTAAGCGCTGTGCCTCCTACAAAGAGCCAATGCCAATTTCTGACAGACATTCACAATGTCAGATGCCTGGGAGAATATTATTCACCTCAGGATAGTTCTCGCTGTCAAACTCAAGGCCAGGACTCACAGGGACAGAAACCTCCATTTAAAGTTAATTTTACTGGAGAAGAATACACACCCTTCCTCAGACCTGGGATTACAACCTACGGAGGTACGATCATCCCGAGGTTCCCCTCAGGGTGAAAAGGTGCCAAAGAGGATCAGTATAGAGGTCACTCATCAGTACTTATGATGCTCCAGGTACCTCAGGCATTGTGGCACCATCAGCAGCAGCTGGCACTGACTAAAAAGGGTACAAATAATGCCCTAAAACCCCACCGGTAACCTCTACGGTACCGAAGACTACATTGGTATCCCCAGATACATCATCAGTGCTGACAACAGCAATGGTACTGAAAACTACAGCATCGCTACCACCATCCGCACCACTGACACATCCACCGGTACTGTCTGCACCCTCAAAGGTCATGGCACTGATGGCACCTTCCTATTCTTTAGCACCTTTGGCACCGACCAGATTAGCGGCACCAATTATCTACTCTACCGCCTACATATCAGCGGATGCTACTGTCCGTACTGACCATATGACCATACCATTAGCACCATAAAGACTGACACTACGGACTTGGGCACTGATTTTTGCAGCACCACTGCCATATATGCAAAATGCTGATCTCGCAGTGCCCCTCAATCGCCACTTTTTGGCACTGATGTGTCGCCTAGACTGACCACTTCTCGGGTGCTTTCCCCTGTACCATTGCAATTTTCCAGTGATGAAAATGAAGGCTTACCGGCCTCCTTCTCGCCGCCACATAGCCCTTCATTTCAGTATTATAAGCCATGTTATGACTGTGGGCATTTCCTCCATGCTATGAACACCACTGAATATCTCCTCCGATAACGCATCCTGCACAATGGCCTTACTGGAGCCCTTGGGATTCCTATAGGAGACACCATATTTTGCAGTCTTGTCCCTACAAGCAGACTAGTTTTTATATACCGCACACAACTTCATCTGTGCAACAGCCGCTCAATACAGATCCTCAAGAGGCTCAGGTTATAAAGGAATCACCCCCTGATGCATCACCTCCAACAAATTCCTTGTCTTCACCTTATGAGGCGATGATGCCACCTCCTCCTCCTTAGGCCGTGGATGACTTTAATGAGCTCTTTAAGAGAGCTGCAGCTGAACTTAAAATTACTATGGAGGAAATCTCCAAGCCTCAGCATGAGCTCACTGACATCCTCCAAACCTCGCCATTGTCTAAAATAGCCCTCCCCAGCAACCTCGCCATTATGGACCCCGCCAACACAATTTGGGAAACTCCTGCATCAATTCCACTTGTGTGCAAAAGAGCTGATAAAAAATACTATTTACCCGTTAAGAGCTTGGAGTTTCTCTTTACCCATCCAACACCTAAATCCTTAGTGGTGGAAGCTGCACGCCAACGGGCAAAGTAACATCATTTTCATATCACTCCACCAGATAAGGATAGTAAAAGACTTGATCTCTTTGGTAGCAAGGCTTACACGTCTGCAACTTTACAGTTCAGGATTTCGGTCTACTCAGCCTTGTTGGCAAAGTATGACTTTCGTAATTACTTTAAGCTCATGGACTTTGTGGGTGATATTTCGTGGGCAAAGAGACCTCAATTTACAGCCATTGTAACGGAGGGGCAGGTTATTTCCTGTGCTGCCCTCCAGGCCACTCTCGACGTCTCAGACACCATGGATAGAACCACAGCCACCAAAATTGTGATGTGTAGAGTCTCCTGGTTCTCCCCAGCCACGTTCTCTCATAAGATACAATTTACGGCTGAGGATTAGCCCTTTGATCAGGAGAAGTTGTTTGCTGGTAAGACCAATAAAGTTCTCAATACCATGAAGGACTCTTGACTACCCTTCACATTTTGGGTATCCATATGCCTGCCAATAGACGTAGGCAATACCGGTACCAGACCTATCAACAGCCATGTTACCCTGCGTATTTCAACCAACGCAACAATAACAATCCC